TTACAAGAGCAGCATGCTCTTGTTTATCACTGCAGCAGTACGTAGCTAATGGTTGTTGTGTTCAACTGGGTTGGTTTTTTGTGTTTTTTTTTTTTTTTTTTTAAGCTGAAAAATTTGCTCTATCAAATAGTGCTATTTTGCTTTTTGTGTCTGTTGTAGTTTCCGTGGAAATAAATAAAAGGTATTACTTTTGAAGTGATCTGTATAATGTGCCCGTATATCTAGTGAAGTTTCTTACCTGCTGGTTTTTCAGCTCTGTTACTCCTTCATAAGTTCTCAAATGCAGAAAGCACTAATGCCCTGTGATTTTATTTTCTTTCCAAGAAGACTGCATGCATTACCATAGTATAAACATATGACAATCAAGTTCTCTGTGTCCAGAAATCCTTCCAATTTACATCATGGCTAAAGCCTTGCTGCCTCAGAGTCACGAGATGTACTTTTATCAAACCAGCCTCTCAACGACTGCTACAAACTTGTGCTAGTATTGCCAGACAGTCCTTGGCAGTGATACTGATCTTTCTTTTGCTGATGTGAAGTACAGGTGGGGTAGATTAGCACCTTTATACAAAAGGCAGTAGATGTATTCTGGTTGGTTGACTTCACTTGTAAACCTTTAGATGCTGGGTAGAAAAGCTCTTTTTTATAGCTCAAATAGCTGGCAGAGTCAGTGCAGACACAGAAATAAAAAAAAAAAAAATAACAATTGCCCAGATTATTTAGACCATTAGCTTCATTGTTGTGCTACACAGTCATCAGTAAATCCAACTTACTAGAGGCAAAATGATTAGCATGTTTGAGTAAAGTCTTCCAGCAATCATTAGCTCACCACTGAGCTCTCTGGTTGACCCTTTTGTTACAGCGGTAAGAGTAGGTAATCGGTTTGTTAGATTTCCTTTTTTTTTTTTTTTTTTTATGTCACTTTTGAGGCTGAAAAAAGAAAGCTCCCTGAAGTGTTTATAATATTATACCTTAGCAAATTCACTAGACAGAACACAATTATCTCAGCTAAGCATTTATTAGTCTGTTGGCAGACAGTAATTAACGGGAAACAGTGATGTTTCTAGTGTTGAGAAGAGCATATGAATTATTACCAGAGCATGTGAATGGTAAGCTTACTAACTGCAAGTGTATGAAAAGCTGCTTTTGGTACTTTGAATAGGAAGTTATCTTTTTCCCTCTTCTATTGATGCAAGTCAAATTACAGTTCTATGCTGACCGCCTACAACTGCTTAGCAAAGGCAAAGCAGACCATGATGTAGTAGGAAGGAAATACCTTCATAAAATAGAGCTATAACTATGTAACTATTTCTTCTGAGGAAAAATTAAATACCTTGTTCTTATTTGCTCACCTGTTGTTACTGAGGTGATTACTGGAATTGCCGTTTGCAGACAAGGAGTGTGGGAGAAAAACCTATTTGCCTTGGCTGGTGCTGTGTAGCAATAGCCCCAGTGATGGATGTTCTGGGAAATTTGACTTACCAGTCTGCTACTGATAGGAGCTAAAGGCAACTGTTCAAATCTGTCATTAGATGTATGCAATTTTCCTTCAGGACTTGGCAAATAAAATGACAATTTGTCATTTGATTGTTGGTGCTTCTGATGTTCACGATATGCAATCTTTCAGCTGTGCTTTCACATTGTACTTCAGGCCTTTCTACCAGCAGAGCCTTGTACCACAGTTTGCTCTGGGTTTTAGGTTTGGGCTCACTCAATTCCTACTCGGTGAGAAGCCCAAAGGGACAGGGCTGTGGAGAAGGGCTGCAGCCTCATCTCTTGCCCTCATGCTGCAAAGGCTCTTTTTTTGTTTCTTTAACCCACTTACCTCCCCCTTTCTTTCAGCATGTGTTTTGAATGTTGTTTGGAGGATAACCAGATAACTGGTGTTCATTGGTACTTGCTTAGTTCCCACTTGCTGGAAATTTGGGCAGCTTTCAATTAGCTCTGTATCGCAGAGGGTAAAAATAAGTATTCTCTGTGCCAGGTGTTGCCAAGTTATTTGGGTGGAAATAGGATGTGTGCTCTTGTAACTTCTAAAGACTTGTTCTGATCGAACTCTTGTGAGCACCACGGAAGCCCTTCACCACATTAGATGCAAATTCTTTTGTTCTTAGTTGCATCGTGGCATAGTGGAGAATCTGTAGGTTGCAGCTGTTCCAGTGTCTGCAGGATGCATTTGAAAGAAACAAGAACATTACATCAGGTAGCTGGCTGCAGGAAACCCAAGCCATGCTTCAGAAATGACATATGACTAATCTTGGTGTTTAAGAGGAGGAAAAGGTTGAGGGGAAAAATACTTGTTGGTAATCAGTTCATTCATTCTGCAGAAACATGGGCTGAGGAATACTGTATAGGACGTACATGAAAGAGCATTTAAATGTAATATAATTACATTGTAGAGCATATATTAAAAAAATCATAATATATATAATGTTCGTATATAATCTCTATATGCATGCACACAGAGGACTATCTTTTAAAGCTGTACAGTTACACAGTGCTACATGACAACTTATTAAATGAACAATTCTATGGGGAGAGAAATAACCACCACTGTGAAGCTTCATTGCAGACTTTGGGCATGCCTGTGTTACGATGCAGGCTTTGCATAGGAAATGCCTTACCCATGTAATCCTGTTCTCTAATTACAGTATGCAGGAAAATGTTATTTTTCTTTGATTGCCCCTTTTCTCCTGTGTCTAGTGCATGTTAGACCAAACGTAATGCCTGAAGGGTCCTATGATTGCAAGGGTGCTTGGCATGGTAAACTTCACAGTACTTGAAAATGCTAAAGTCATTTTGTTTTCCTCTGGGAACATAAGCTCCTAAAAAATCCCCTAATAGCCCCTAGTAGGTCAACAGTTTCCATAGTTGATTATAGTTAACTGTTAAAAAGCTTTTTTCTCTTCTACTTATTATCTTGCTTAACTTTGAAGAAAATTTGCCACTGTTTTTTTTGTTTTTTTTTTTTAACCTCATTTTGTGCTTTTACAAAGTAAGAATGAGAGAATTCTGCCTACTCACTTATTTCAAGCTTTTTCAATCTTAACAAACAGCATATTGCAGTGATTAATGTGAGCAAACACATTTTAGTGTTGGCTGCTAGGGGGAAGCACATCTGAGCTTGTTCAATTGCTATTAATGAGGCTGTTAAAAGCAGTGAATTATTGCTGCTGTCTTTAGTTACTGTTGTTGTGAATCATGTGACTTGATGGAAATAAACTGTTATTGCTGAGCAGCTGTAACACAAAACAAAAACTGAGCAAGAGAACTTTGTCTGTTAACAATTAATCTCTTTTGGGAAAAGAGTGATCTCTTCTTCTAGCTGGGGGGGAGGGGAACATTTTCATTTCCAGAAGGAGTTCTTCAATCAGTATAAAATCAATGAGCCAGCCAGGGATATGTGTTGTTAAACACGTGGTTTATTAGCAAAACAAACAGAAGACGTTTTATGGCATAAAGTGATTTCCTGTGTTTGTGGGTCTTCTGATTTCTCAGAGTGTTTTTACTTCTGGATGATCTCTTTGGTGCTAAGATGCACCAGCATGCTGCCTGACCAGCCTGTGTGTGCTTGTTTCAGCTTCTTAGGCTTTTGTCGCATACCTGCCTTCCTGCAGGAACTGCTTCTAAAAAGTTCCTGCAGCATTTCTTTGCTGTGAGTCCATGGTGTCTGCAAACTCTGTTGAGCCCAAGTCCAACATGCATCAAAAGTTAACGTGGTGCCCTTGTTGATTGTGATTTTATGAGCTGCATGATCACACCTATCTAGAATAATGTTTTTATATAGGACAAGTACAATCTTTCCTTACAGTATTGAGGTTACTTTAATGCCTTCTGTGCTACAGTAGAGCATGCTTAGAATTGCTTTATTCTGCTCTATGCAAGTACGCAAACTGTAGCTTGAGAAGTTCATAAAAAAGATTTGTAAGAAGAGTTGGTGGATCCTTATATCTGGTGTTATGATCACTTTCGTTTGGCTGTTCACACCAGAAGGTGTACGCAGTTACAAATTATCAGCGCAACTTAGCACCAGCCCAGATACCATGTAACGCATGTAATAGCTTTTGATACATGTTCAGAAGTCATCAGTAAACTGCTGTCCCTCTTCCCGAATGTAAGCTATGTTGAGGTGAGGTATTGGTGTGGTAGACCTAAATGATCATGTACTTATTTTGGGGAGGGATTACCTGAATATGTCAATCTTATTGCACTAGATTAGGAAGCATAAAGCAGATGTAGTTTCTACTTGCTACAAGGTAGGTGCTACAAAAGGGATTTCTTTTCCTTGTATGTCTGCACTGATCCATGTTTTCGTGCTTGTCTTGTAAGAAAAGGGCTTATCCATTCTGGTTAAAGAGGAGGAAAAAGGAAAGAGTGAAAGTAAAAGCTTACTGTGGTAAACCAGAGAAAGAGAGATGCTTGCTCATGGTATAGGATGATATTCAAAGATAAGCTCTCCTCCTATCTAGTTATTAAGGAACCTGAAAAGGAAGGGAAGCATCTGTATGTTTGTATCCAGAAGAAAGGATCACATGCTAATGAATTTTATCACAGGAGATAAATTCACTGGCACAAGCTGTACAGTATATATTTCTGTAGACTAAATACCTTTGTGACATATGTTATACACCATAATTCAGTATAAAATTGTATAATTACTCTGCCTTGTAACTTAAAGTTAAATGAGCAGCTGTACTTCACAATATCTTTAGTTTATTTCTTCTACTTTGGAAGAAGATAGAAGTAAAACAACAACAAAAACTTGGTGAATGCAGCAATGCAGATATTTTTTTTTCCCTCTTCTAAGTTATATGCAGCCAAATAATCATTTGTTTTCCAGCAGCAAAACTGCTATTTCAGACCTTTCAAAAGGAAAAACTCCTGGAAATGTTATCAGAGTTGTTGCACATCAATAAAAGACTGAAATTTCACTCTTGTTTTTTTTTTTTTTGGACTGAAAATCTATAAACTTTATTTTTCACTTCAGAGTTTTGGTGAGAGGAGAAGGGAGGGGAAAAAAAGACAAAATTGGAACCCACCCATGGGAAAAGAGGGAAAGTAGTTCTTCATCAATTCTGAGATCAGAAGAACAATGTAACAGATGATTATTAACAATAATGTACTGTGATTTTTTTTTTTTTTTTGTTTACTTTAAGTCTTAGAAACGCTGGCTAGAGAAGGAGGTTTTCAGCCCTTCTCTTTAATATACTGATGGAATATTGCTATCAGTTCGGAGCCTGTGTTTGAGCTGTTGATAGAGCTTGGACTCAAGAAATCGAGGGTAGGAATCTCTTTCCATATGCATGTAAACTACTCGTTGTGCTTCATCAAAACAGGACTCTGTTGCTTCCTGTAGGTTCCTGACAATTGATTTCTTCACTGGGCTGTCAATGTTAATCTGAAAACACAAATCAGCATTACTGAAGTATCATTAAATATTTGCGAAGGAAGGTTGAAGTTAGATGACCTGTACTGAATGACTTTTATTTCTCTAGTTTTATTTTCATGTATCCTGTATTTTAAAATCAGCACTTTATTATTTATCTATTGTAGCAGTATCTTTCTCATTACAGTGTCAGAAATAGCTAGTCTTTACAGCTGGATGGGGAACTTGCTCCTTTGGGGAACAAAAGCCTGGTAGACTTAGAGCTGTTTGAGTTCCAGTCTGTCCCATGCTTTTAATGAAAGAATATATATGTATGACTTAAAAGAAGCAGTCCTGAGGATTTGAGATGTGAGATGTAGAAAAGCTTCAGGAAAAGCTTTGTGCTCCCCCCCCCCCCCAAGCTATCTTAAGGATGGAAAAAATACTAAATTACATAGGAAGTTTTATTATTATTATTATTATTATTATTATTATTATTATTATTATTATTATTATTATTATTAGCTTATGATGAATTGCACTGTTTAGTTGGCTTCATTTGGTCTCTTTTTGCTGAGAGGAGAGCTCTAAAGATGTGAAGTTTGTGCTGATGTTGCTTATGGGCCAGGATGAATTGAATTGAATATGAACTGTGTCACAATTCTCACTTAGCATCTACGTTTTAAAGAATGGTATCTAGCTCTTGTGTTAACAGTGAATATAGAGAAAAGGCAGTCAATATGTCTTGAAAACCTAGATACCTAGGCAGCCAGTAGCAAGATTCAAATACGTTATATTGTAGGGGGAAAAAAACATACACAACACATCTCATTTTTAAACAACTTATTCTTAACTATCTTGAGTTATGGTCTTAGCCTAGATTAATGGATTTGTGATTGGCAATACTGACACTTCTTTCTCAAAAACATGAATGTCTTACTGAGTTTCTATAGTAGGACATGCTACAAATATATACACACACACCACACCACCCCAGTAAGTAAATAAAAAGTTTAGGAAAAGACAAAAATGAATTGCACTTTCAATTGTGTTTTAAAACCAATAGCCTTCAAACTTCCTCTACTTCTAAGTTAGTAGGAGTGGCTTAGTCATTTAAAGGAGCAAATGATCTCAGCCAACAGCTGGAGACCAACCAGAGCTGGGTTTGGTTTGGCTTGGCCTTTGATGTCTATAGAGAGGCTGTTTTGAGATTCTGTAATTTGTTTATGATTATATGTAAACCAGAAAATAATGAATGTGGATACTTCAGCTATGTCATTCTGCTGGGATAGAGGCAGTAAAAGCCAGTATAAACTTTTTTCCAAGGAGGGTAATAAGCAAGACAGGCTTAAGTCTGAGAGTCTGAGAGTAGAAACTGTTGAGCAGGAGTTAATTTTTTTGCATGGTCACCTGAGTATCTTTTTTTTTTTTTTTTTTTTAAATGCTCAGATCTTCAGTATTTTCCCTGAACCTTACGGTGCCATGATTAAGTTGTTTCAGAGTCTTTCTATCAACTCCTTTTCTAAAAGGATAGGGCTGAGTGGAGTTCTTCATTTGTTTGTTTACTCTTGCAAAGACCAGATTAGTATCTGCATGACAGAATGGCACTGTTCAAGATCTATTGAAGTGAGATCAGTGGCCCTTGATCTTAAAAGAACATAAAGATCCATGAATTTGGGTCTTAATCTAGCTGTGTGTTAACATGCATACGTGGTGTGTGGATATATATGAAGCATTTTCTTATAGACAAAGCAGTGAAGGAAAGTATTGATATTATGGGTACAGAAGAGCTTTGGGAGGATGAACAGGAGTCTCCAATCACTTTATGAGAAGATCTAAATATCTGTTGCATTTTGTAAACTACGTTACAGTTCAGACAATTCTGTAGAGGAAACAAAAAGCTCATGTTAGGGTATATCACCTCTTTTGGAGCCTGGGATTGAATGTAATTTGTAAAAAGTTTCCTGGCCACATAAATCCTTTTTCTTTGGGATGTGATCTTCTTATAAGCTTCACAAGCAAGCCAGAATTCTATATTTTCATCACTGTGCTCTGTCTTCAAGTAGGTCTTGTAGATCATAGGTCCATCTGTAAATGTTTTGAAAGCCAAACTTCATATACAGCATACCAGGTTTATAAACTTGAGAAGGCTTTGAAGATAGAGATATTTATAAGGTAGTGTGTATAACTATGCTGTACGTCTCTAAATATTCTTATCAAAAGATTATATCAAAGTGGGAAATCAAATGCACTAATTCACCATAGAACTCTATACTTTGACATTGCATTTTGCTACGTGTGCAGTAACTTCCTTTAAACTTTGGCATTTTGCTATTCAGGAGCACTGAAGTTTATGCTAGGCATTGCCTGAGTATTGCTGGAAGCCACAAATGTTTAACTTGAAACAAGTTTTCCTGTTGGTGCAGAATTCTGAGTTTCACTTAGCTAAAGATGGTGGGTTGTGATGTAGCAGTAACCATGGACTTGCACTCAACTGTTGCTTTTTTATTAAAAAAAAAAAAAAAAGTGCTTTCTCCCTGTGCTTTCCTTATGAAGTGTAGCAAGCCAAGTTGGTTGCTGTTAAATGTTTTAATTGTAAACTCTGCCTTTTTCTTCATAGTTACAAATTCTCATTCTGTTCCTCTTCTTGCTCTCCATACTTCACTTGGCTATACATGGTGTTTGCCAAATCACTTTTGCTTTCAGTTTCTTCTGCGTGATGCATGGTAAGCACAACCCCCTAAGCTGTTTTTCAATAGCTGCACGTAAGATAAAGCACACAGCATACTGCTTGTCTTGCTGATTGTCCTCCGTAAGAAGCTTTTTAAGCAATCCAACTGGGATACGAGCATACATTTACTTACATTTACTCATTATCAGTTTTTCAAAAGACTGGGACCACTGTAGCACTTCATCCAAAGACACTCTTCAGGATAAAAAAGAGAAGGAGATGATTATAGAATTAGCCATGGCTCAAACATACAAATCATATATAGTTAGTTATTGAAAATCTGTTCCCTAATTTAAATAAGACGTATGAATCTTGAATTTGAAAGAGCTTTTCTGTGTATCTTATGTCTTGTGCTTACTAAGCATGTATTCTCTTCAATACAGCTTATAGTTCCATCTCGAGGTGTTCCTATCTAATTCCTCTGGAAACAGTACTCACTGATTTAGAGCTCAGGTTAAGCACATGGTGAATAGTGACTTTCTAGATTGTAACCAGTTTGGTATGGGAATTGTGTGATTGATTATGCAACATTGACACTTGTATTTAGTAACAAAGACTTTTAGGAGCCCAGATTCTTACTGTAATTTTTAAAGACCCTTCATGACCAAGTTGCAGTTAAGTTGACTTATCAGTTGAGAGCTGAAAATAAGCTCCAAACTTAACATAAATACTGAAAGCTTAACACAACTTCAGCTGTAAGGTACATCCTCTCCATCTCTCTCCAGTTGTTTACAATATAGTAGGACATGCTATTACTAATCTAGAAACAGTTCTTGAAGATGAAACCAGATTTGTTTGTTTGTTATACTCAAATGGCAATTTCATAAGATTGTAGGAGTTTCCTGCCTGACTCTGGGAAAAAGTATGGAAGCAGTGAGGTGAGAGACTAAACACAGTAAGGTAAAACAAATGTTTGATGGCCAGACATGTGCATGTTGCTCCACTTAGACCAACTGATTTTTAAGCCTTGCAATTCTAGGAGCACAATGCTAGTAACTTGGAAAAAATGCTCCCACTTATATTAGTAGAAGAAAACGCAGAGATGTATTCCAATGAGTGCTTTCCACTATGAGTCAGCCTGAATTGGGGAGAGCTTCTCCGAGTGCTCCCTTTTCGCATGAGGTGTAATTTTAGTCATTCTAGACCTGCAGCATGTAAAAGGTACTTAGCACCTCAGAAGAGATATTCACATCTCCATCATGAAAAGCAAAATCAGCTTAAGTATGGATGCTGCATGCGGCTTCATAGGCTTCTGCTGCACTACAGGCACCAGAGGTTTTGTAGCTTTCAAAACTGGTGATTACCCTTTCATCTTTAATTTGGTAGAATTCTCTGACCAAGTGTACTGAGGCATACTGATTATCGTGTCAGGTTTGTGTGATCAGAAACATATCAATATAAATCTTACTGCTATCGAATTACAGTGTTAGTAGTTCTTACCAATATGTTTGATTCTCATCAAAAGTTCTTTTTTCCCCCCTCCCATGTGTTAGTGGCTCTCATCTGTGGAAACTCATGAAGCTTGTTATTGTGGGCAGTGATAATCTTTATTCATCTGAATGCTCCCTTTCCTTGGGAGCCACTTCTGAGTCATCATCAGTGTTACTGATGCAGATAATTTTTCACTCCTGTCAGCAATAGCATTTGAATATGAACGTCTTGTCTGTCTCACCAAGCATCATCAGCAGGGCCACCTTATTTCCATGTCTGATTATTTGCCTTTAGCATTAATCTTTGAAGCAGAAAGAAGGTGATCTGATGGGGCAGCTGCCATGGAGGAAAAGCTTTTTACTTTTTTTTTTTTTTTTTTTTTTTTGTCTTTCCTTTCAGAATCATGAATGTTACTAAGGGAAATGTGAACATGTGTTACTAATGCCAGTCTCATAGCTGCTGTGCTGATTGCAATGTTTTCGCAGCTTTGATTGGCAAGATGATTCAAATTGCTGGAGAACATCTATTATGCTGAGAAACATGAGTATTCTCCATAGTTATCTGAGGCTTTATAGCTGGGATTCCAATACTTAATACGTAAAATGCTATTGCCAAGCCTTGTGGAAGCTGTAGTTTGTTTATTATTCTCCCCCAGTGCCTGGCATTTCCCTGGCTGCAGTGCATCAGTAGCCCACAGGCTGAGACATTCTTGTGTAGAAGAAAAGTACTTGTCCAGGAGACACTTCTGGAAATGCTCTCTGGATTTCTGCTGAGCTGTCACTTAGCCTCACACAAATGACAGTCAACAGAAATACCTCAGTACTGCTATGGAGGACGTATTTTTCTCCAATCAGTAAATAAGTACAGTGTACAAGCTGATAACAGGTGTGTTGAACAGAAGCTTTTTAGCCACTCTGATGTATGTCATGCTGGCCAAAACTTCTGGCTATGCCTGGCCTCCACTGAGTTTGGATGCAGCTCATGACTTGCAGGAGGCACTGCTGCTTCTCTTTTCCACTCCACAGCACAGCTTCATGTGTGGAAGGACACACATATATTCAATCTCTGCCAATAGTCTGAATTCTTCAAAAGAACTGCACAAAATAGGGTTTACAGATTCTTTTGGGTCATAAAACTGAGATTAAATCAGGGATTAGGTCAGGCCTGTGCCTAAATACTTAAAAGTTCCCACTAGGATGCACCCCATTTCCAACAGAGAAGTACTAATGTACAATTAATATACTGCAAAGCAATTAGCTGCATTGCAGGTGGTCAGCTGGATCAGTTGTGAGGATGCTGCACTCATCTGCATGATTTTAGGCTTGTAAGGAAAACTCATAGTGAATTCTGTGGGTTTTATATTTCTGTTCTGCAAAATGTAAGAACTGTGTCGTTACTTACTTAGAAATGATCCCATTTTCTTCTGCTCTGAATGTCATGCAAAGCCAGCAAGCATTTGGACTCATTCTCCTAAACATGAAAACTATGTGAGTTTTAATCTTCCTATACTGATTTCTGGCAATCTTAAATTCTACTTGTAATTCAGTCCTCCATGCAGCAGTGCTGCCTACTCTAACAGCATTCTTATTTTAGATATCTAATCTTTATCATCTTTTATTTTAAAGCTTTTTTTTTTTGAGTTGTGGCTGAACATTACTCCAAAATGTATTTTTGTAACATGCAAAAACGTAGGTAGTTCAACAGATATTTCTAAAGGTGGAAAGAAATAGAGCTGATATTTCTTTTCTTTCCCATCTGTGAAGAGAACTTTAAAAAGTGACCTTCACCAAAAGGAAAATAAGGTGGTTATTTCTTTTCTGAAAGGACAAATACACCTGGATCAAGAATCAGAGCTCAGTGTAAACTGGACAATGTTCAGTAACTGAAGCATGAGGCAGTAATTTGCCATGCCGTTACCAGCTAATCAATACTGATTAAAAATTGGTCTTACATTTCTTATAGAGATGATATGAGAGCAGCTATGATTTGTAATAAGGACAAGGTTGTTAAGCATATATTTACATACACACAAAAAAAACAACCAAACATGCAAGAAACGCAACAAGAAGAAAGCAAAACAAAAACTCCATCAACATTTTCTGACCTGGATTATATCCCTCTCCATTTTCTTTCCAGAGAGATCAAATGCTGTGAAAAGCTTGCAAGGGATGGAGGGTGAATTTACATAGATCTGCCTGAAAGCAAATCGGTTATCTTGCACGTTATTTATTTCAGGTCATAGTTTCTTTCAGGTTTGGGTTTGATTGGCATATACTATTCTGGCAGCTTAGTTTTCCTTCCAACTCAAACATGATAAAACACAGAACAAGGCCATATCTCCCAGTGCAGCATTCTGAACTTGTCAAATGATCCTGATCTTAGGCTTATTAATGTCCAAATCCAGTTTGGTATTGTGTGAGAGTCTTACCCAGTAGATTTCCTACAGGATATCGAAGCTTCTTAACTTCCCTTAGCGTGGTACTGCAGCTGGGCTGTTTGTGCTCCAGCAGCCCTGCAGGTCTGCCAGTGACTGTTGCTCATTTCCTACTTTTGTGGAATTCTCCGAACTACGTTCTGCTTGTTTTCTGTATAACTTCCTCTACATTTGCCTATTCATATCACTAGTATTTACTGTGATCTCACCCTCTGCACAAAAGGGGGATTTTAGAACAACGCAATATTCTATATTTAAAAGCATTACACATTAAATTCTGGTGTAGGATTATCAACCATCCCCATTGTCTTATTTCAGTCTTTACCTAGTGCCCTCTTTTTTTGTATGTCTTCATGTTACGCTTACTGGTCACTGAAATACAAACAAAAACAGCCTTTGAAACCTACAGTTAGTGCTGCATGGAAATTCCCCGAAAATTTGAGATGAAGCAGTAGCTCAGCTACTTCCATCTAAATTCAAAAGTGTCATTCATTATCTTTTTTTTCTCAAGGTGAGAAGTCATACTGTATAATGAGATACTGTTGCTTTGAGGAACATTTTAAAGCAGAGTTTGAGGTTTTAAAGAAAATATTGTGCCCCAGAGCTGGCTATGTGTGTGCATTCGCTATCCAGGCAACCAAGGCTTTGTAATTCTCTTTACATACAAAATATTTCCAAATAGGCCAAGGTACAAAGTGTGCTGATCTTAGGGTTTTTTTTTGTTTTTTTGTTTTTTTAAATATTTTATCTTTATCCTTGGGTTTTCTTCATTCCACAGAAGTATGTAGTCTGTACTCCATCAGTCTGTCACTTGTTACTGCTGACAATGATGTTATTCTATAAACAAAACAGATCCAGCACGCAAAGCTACAACGTGCCCTCATGCAGTGTGTGCCAATTTTGCATTGGCACAAGTCACAAGTACAGCCTGTGACCTTGCCTATGTTTGTGCCCTATTCTCTGTTGCAAATGGTAGCACACGTACGTCATAACTTCTCTGCTTTGGTAATTCAGCCAGCTATTTGGAGGCTGCAGGAGCTGTTTTCAGCTGGTACATATGAATGTAGGGTGAGTGGGGAAGAGGATATCATGCTTTTTTATATAATAGATATAACTTTTTTTTTAATAATTCACAGTTTTTTTTAATGTGTAGGACCTGCACTTTTCACAGGGCCTTAATCAAAAAGAAAGTCACATGGCTACAATACTTGCAGAGGAATTATTTGTCTGATAAATGAATTTAAGACTTGAGAGTATTCATTTGTGTACAAGATGTGATACCAATCTAGAGCATTACCTATTTTTGAGCTCCAACACGTGCTTTCATAGAATCACTACAATCAGAACAGACCTCCAAGATATCCATTCCAAGTGTCCTCATGTCACCAATATTTCTCACTAAACCACATCCCTCTGTACAATATTTGAATGTTTCTTGAATTTGCCCAGGCATGGTGACTACACCACCTCTCTGGGCAGCCTATTCTGTTTTGATTCACAGCATCTGTATACCAAGCTAGTGAATTGTAAGCTACCTGGTGTCGCAGGTTTTGATGCTCCATGCAGGTTTTAGCAGAGCCTTTGGGGAGAAACAGCTTAAGTTTTGCTCAGTTGCCCTCTGTGATGTCATTCAGACTAATTTGTACTAGGAATTTTACATAAAATATTCACACGTGAATAATGAAGAAGCTGTTTATACATCAGGAACACTTCTTAAAATAATGCCTTTGCTATTCTGAAGCAATTTTACACGCCAAAAATAGGTGTTTCCTTTCTTATGCTGTGCTTGTAAGCACAAAACATCGTACCTATAGAAACTCAAATATCCTTCCTCCTGGTTAAAATTTTCATTTATTAGCTGCATTTGTAGGGATAAGATTCTAAATTTCCTGTGGTTTTTTTTTTTTATTATTATTATTATTTTCTTGAAATGCAGAAGGTCTTACTTCCCTATGGATGTGTCTGCTCTGCATGTGCTGGCGCCTGTCTCGTCTTCTTCCTTATATGTGCCATAGGCAAATTGTGCTTGTGGTTTCTATCAGGAACAGTTCTGTTGGACTCTGCACCACTGATAGAGACTGTTTGCTCTAAAGTTATCTGGACGTCTCTGCAAATCAGCTGCAATGAAATTAAGCTTTGTTTTACTTCATTTAAATCTTTCATGAATTGTCCAAATTTGGTGACAAATATTTTTAGCCAAGATCTATAAAGTCTGAAGTCCATGCTGAAACAAGGTGCAGCACTCTTGCACTACAAACAGGTTTGGTCCTCTTGCATTATGAGGCAAGAACATCAGGTTGTTATGCGAGAGCTCTGACCCATCAGTGTGAGGTGTGTTATGCTTATAACTGGTCAACGTGGTAATGTGTGCAGTCTGAGTGATGACACTAGAACTTCACTAACTTGTATGAGGTCCTTTTGTTGTTTTTCTCCCAGTTGTTGCCCAGGTAATGACCTCATGTTAAATTAAGATTAAAATGATCTGTACCTTGTTTATTCTTCTCTGCTGAAGCATTTCCAGTGGAAGCAGCCACACAGTGCAATAGCACTGAAGTTTGTCTGCTTGTCTCTAGTGGATTGTAATGATACCAGTGCTTTGGGAGTCAGCACTATCTCGTAGCATTTGGGTAAGTGATTGGAGAGGTGGGGGAAAAAAAACTTATTAGAAGGCTAACAGTGGAAGGCTTTCTGGGGTTATTGTGACTTGTGGGTACTTACCTGTGCCTACACTGGACATGATGTCTGGGTCAGGAGTGGCTTTGTATACATGTATATCTGAAAGTTCTTTTGCATAACATTAAGTATCTTATTTTGGCAAGATCATTTCCTAGTAAACTTAAACTATGTAGTGATTAACTATTGTTCATGACTAATTAGTGACACTGTGATCAAACATCTTTTGCAAAGTACAAGAAAACCACAACATGCTTCAATGACAGGTTGCCTGATCAAGCCTATGTTATGCCTTCCCTCTTATTACATGGATATTCCACTAGATGTCATCTGACATCACTCTGAAGGAGAAGATGCAAGTAATCAGTTCAAACAGATCTCATGAAGATGGATGTAGGTTTCTGCAGGCTCTGGGGAAACCCTCTGAGTGTAGTGAATGATCTTATGTAGCCTGAAAGGGATTTCTTATCCAGCCAGGAGAGAGAGGGAGACAAGCAATTTGCTGAGGCATTTGTTGGACAAGCTGTCTAATGTGGCTTCTGATACAGCCTTGTTCATTTGAATCCTTAGATTGAATCCTTAGACTGCATCCTTAGGGTGCAGAACTGTGGTGTTGTAAGGACGTGCTGTGGAGGAGCCAATACTACCTGGTTCATTCAGTAGTTGAGCTGGACATGCTTTAGAGGAAGAAAGCAAAGTGAAGGGAACAGAAAAGCTAAAGATGGAGAGAGAAATTACTATCAAGCCAAAGCTGTTTAACTTGTCACTTATTCTGGCCAGTTTTTTTTCCAAGTATTAAATATATTGTCTAAACTATCTGATAGTTGATGACTGTTTTTATTGCAATTCTTTTCTTGTCAGCAAGGATAATGCTTCCAGAGAAACTCTTGCTCAAAGCTTTATATTTCTTTCTGTTCTTTCCTGTGTTCACTCATAAATAGCATCCTTATTAATCCCCATGCTTTCTCTTTATTCTTCTTTTGCTCTTACAGTCAGTCTTTCCTGTTTGTGTTTCTATTTTAATGCTCCTCTGTTCATTAAGCACCTCGCCTACCTGAACCTGTTTCACACCAGTGAACTTGGAAGTCCTGTCTGCCTCATTCTCTGTATTGTACCCGCTCTTTCCATCCACCCACACACTCCATTGCTTGTACATTGCTACTTACCCTCCTCTTTCTCCTGCAGTACACCCACACAATGGCATTCATGAATGCAGGAACACTGCTTGCTTGGGCTTGCCTTGTATTCACATCCTTGAGGCTCTGTCTTACAAGGGCAAGTAAATAGGAGCACTGAAGGTGTGCCAGTTGGTTTAGGCTCGCGCTCAAGAAAAGACACTGAGAGGCCTTTGTTTTCCCTTGAGGAGCACAAAAAGTAGATGCTCTGATCTGTGTCCTATCATACTCTTCATTGAGTGCACTTAGTATATAAAAGAAAAATGGATCAAAAGTCTTGCTTTTAGCTTAGTGTGGCCACTGAGTCATATGTTTTAGTCTATACTTAATATTGGCATTGTGACCAGCCCCATCCAGACGCGGTTCCTTTGTTGGGAACTTTCTTGCTATATATTTGGAAATAACCTCAAGAAAAGTTAAGTTCAGCATGCAACAAATGTCTGTTCCCAGGGCAACAGACCCCTGCAGCACACCACAATGACCAATTGTCTGCTATTAAATGGGTGGTGAAAATATACTCTGCTTGTAGATAAAAGTGGGCATGGCTTGTGAGTGTTTGCTAACTTGAAGAATGGAAATTGTTTCCATACTTATGACTGCTTTGGGTTTTGCCCATAGAGTTGGATAAATCTTAAGTTGTCACTGATCTCTGTGAACTTAAACATCTAATTAGTGAAAACAGTCTGGAATATTGCTGAAAAGTCTAGATAGAAGTTCTGAAAACCTTCTCTCTATCATATGCTATAAGCTTTCTCTTCCCTTTTTCTTCCTAAAAGCCATGATGTCGTTGTGTGAGCATGACATTCTGCAAGTGAGGAGGAAATCATGTGACTGGGTGCTTGTAGTGCTTTGAACAAGAACATTCAGCCCTCCCATTCAATCAGGCTTCAGAGAAGTGGGTGCTGTGCCCCTACGGCCCTCTGTCAGGCTCCTGTTAGTGAGCTCGCACGTCTCAGCAGTGTGCAAAGCTACTTACATGGGCATCATGTGAGTGGATTCATTTTGAAGGCGTTCATTCTCAGTGGCTATGTCCTCATTAAGAGAATTATTGTAGTTTGTTTTCAGTGTCAATTAACTGATTGCTATGTGCTTCAAGCTGGTCAGAACGTTAACTTGTTACCCTGGGTCTCCTAATCCCCTTTGTTCATCCCAGCACAACAGCTCCCAGCTGGCCATTGAGTTCTGTTCATGTGTTCTATGCTCACTGTTTCTTCAGACTGGCGTGAATAAATGCATTGCATAGCTTGACCTCATTGCTGGTCAAATTCTATTCAATAGCAAGT